GTGAATTCATGATATATGGTTTTTAATGACTAGAAAAAAAATAACAGATTATAGAAAAAGATGAAAATAATGTTCAGAGGTTAGGTTAATTTATGTGTAAATGCTGTGGAAAAAAATCAGACATTTTCTGCATTTTTGTGTTTGTCTTTCTTTTACCTTTCCTTCTCATTTTCCTTCCTTCCCTCCTTTCTTTCCCTTTCTTTTCTTTTCTTTCCTTCTCCTCCTCCTCCTTTCTTTCTTTCTTTCTTTCTCTTTCTTTCTTTCTTTCTTTCTTTCTTTCTTTCTTTCTTTCTTTCTTTCTTTCTTTCTTTCTTTCTTTCTTTCTTTCTTCTCCTCCTCCCCTCCCCAACTTCTCCTTTCCTTTCTCTCTTTCCTTTTTCCTTTCCTTTCCTTTTTCCTTCCCCTTTTTTCTCCCTTTTCCTTTCTCCTTCCCTTTTTTCCTTTTTCTTTTCTTCCCCCCTTCCCTTCCCTTTCTCTATACCTTCCTCCCTCTTCCCTTCTCTTTCTCTATACCTTCCCCTTTCCTTTCTCCTTCCCTTCTTCCATTTTTCTTTTCCTTTCTTTTCCTTTCTTTTCCCTTCAGACAAGTTGTCTTGTTTATAAGACTCCTAGAAACCATGTTTCGTTTATAATGCCATACCACCACTACTACTCCGCAAAGAAGAGGAGAAGGGGGGAAAAAAGGAATGGAAAAAATGGGGAGAGAAAATGTTTTTCTACCCCAGAGTGCAGTTTCCCAGAGCCCCAAAACCAGCGGGGTGGGACTCTACTGGTTCGGACTGGTTTGGGTGAACCGGATGTTAAACTTGCATCTGGTTCGTTAAGAGTTGTTAACCTAATCTTATGTAGCTTTTTCTCTGGTAATATTACACTAATAACTAGAGCATACAAAACATTTGCTAGACCAATACTCGAAAATACAGCTCATTAGTCTGGAACCTGCATTATGTATCTGATATTAATACAGTTGAGAAAGTCCAGAAATATTTCACAAGAGTTCTCCACTCCTCTACTCGTTGTAGAATACCTTATGCCACCAGACTCGAAATTCTAGACCTAGAAAACCTTGAACTACGCCGCCTTCGGTCTGATCTAAGAATTGTATATAAAATCATACATTGCAATGTCCAACCTGTCAATGAATACTTCAGCTTCAACCATAACAACACAAGAGCAAACAACAGATACAAACTCAAGGTTAATCGCACCAAACTTGATTGCAGGAAATATGACTTCAGCAACAGAGTGGTCAATGTATACTCTACCTGACTCTGTGGTTTCTTCCCCAAACCCCAAAAACTTTAACCTTAGACTGCCTCCTATTGACCTCACCCCTTTCCTAAGAGGTCTGTAGGGGGCGTGCATAAGCGCACCAACGTGCCCACCGTCCCTGTCCTATTGTTTCTTTTATATTTCTTATATGTATCCATATATTCATAACTATGTTTTTACTCATACCTATTATCTTGTAAGCAATTGACAAATAAAAATAAATAAAAAATAAAACTGGTAGCTGAACCAACTGGCTGGCCCTACCCCGCCCTGCCCCTTCCCTCCCAAGAGTCTCCACATGGCCCATTTTTGATGCAGGTAAGTGGAGGCTCTGGGGAAAATGGGCTTTCCAGAAGAACTGGAAGTCCAGGAATGGGCCTGTTTCTGGCTTCCGGAGGGTCTCCGGAGGCCATTTTCGCCCTCCCAGAGGCCTGAGGGAAGCCTCCGGACTCTGGGGAACGCAAAAAACAGCCCTACCAGAAGTCCTGGTAGGCCACACCCATCACAGCCATGCCCACCCAGCAACTGGGCAGCGAACCAGTTGCTGGGATTTTTGAATTCCCCTCCCCCCTGCCTGAAACCACTGGTTTTACAGCAGTGTTTATTGGACGTGTCAACTACAAGATGGGTGGACTTCAACACCCAGAATTCATAGCGGCTGGGGAATTCTGGGGAATTCTCCACATCTTAAAGCAGCGGAGTTTGATAAATACTGGGCTGGACCAAAAAGAATCAAAATAAGGAGGAAGGGCTCCCAAGGGAGGCTGAAATAAATTATAACGGCTGGTCTTTCCCTCTCTCTTTTTTTTGCATTTCCAGGGCATTTACGGCAGGCTTTTTGTGTGGATTGTGGAAAAGATCAACGCGGCCATTTACAGACCTCCTTCCCACGAGAGCAAAAACGTCCGGAAATCCATCGGATTACTGGATATCTTCGGATTTGAGAACTTCACAGTAAACAGGTTGTAGGATCTAGGAAAAACGGCGTATGGCATTTATTTCCTCAAAGGCGGTTTGGATGGGAAAGGATCCTTTCACTCCATCAGACAGGGCGCCAAACCCCCCCCCCCCCCCCCCCAAGATGGTAATACTACAATGGAGAATGTATATGGACATTCTCTTGCCATCCAGGTCATTGTTGTTCCAAAGGGGCTTTTTTTCAACTGGATTTTTTTTTATTTTTCTTGGAAGACATTTCGCTTCTCATCCAAGAAGCTTCTTCAGCTCTGACTGGATGGGAGGATTTATACTCCTGACAGATAAGCAGGTCATTTGAATCCTTTTAGGGAGTCGTTGAGGCCACTTGGAGGTTTGTCTGTGTCCTCAGGGTCACCTGAATGGTGCAAGTGGGTGTGGAGCCTTCTTGGAACTGCTGAAAGGACCGTGTTGTAGACTGGAGATACATGAGGTTGTATCCCCCCCCGCCTCCGTTGTTGAAGGAGGTCTGTTCAATTTTGACATAGCGATAGCAATAGCACTTGGACTTATATACTGCTTCACAGTGCTTTCTGGCCCTCTCTAATCGTTTTACAGAGTCAGCCTCTTGCCCCCAACAATCTGGGTCCTCATTTTACCCACCTCGGAAGGACAGAAGGTGGTTCAACCTTGAGCCTGGTGAGATTTGAACTGCCGAATTGCAGGCAGCTGGCAGTCAACAGAAGTAGCCTGCAGTACTGCATTCTAACCACTGCGCCACCATGGTCATGACCTAGATAGCCTCATAGAATAAAATAGAATAGAATAGAATAGAATAGAATAGAGTAGAGTAGAGTAGAGTAGAATAGACTAGACTAGAATAGAATAGAATAGAATAGAATAGAATAGAATAGAATAGAATAGAATAGAATAGAATTGAATAGAATTCTTTATTGGCCAAGTGCGATTGGACACACATGGAATTTGTCTTGATGCAAATGCTCTCAGTGTACATAAAAGAAAAGATACAAGAGTCAAGAATCCTCAGGTACAACACTTAACGATAGTCATAGGGTACAGTAAGCAATCATACTAAGAAACAGTCAATATAAATTATAAGGATTCAAGCAACAAAGTTACAGTCATACAGTCACAAGTGAGAGGGAATGGGCAATAAGGAATGATGAGAAGATTAATAGTAACAGTTTTGTGCAGACTTTGTAAATAGTTGGACAGTGTTGAGGGTATTATTTGTTTAGCGGACTGATGGCGTTTTGGAGAAAACTCCCCTTGTGTCTAGTTGTTCTGGTGTGCAGTGCTCTATAGCCTCATTTTGAGGGAAGGAGTTGAAACAGTTTATGTTCAGGATGTGAAGGGTCTGTAAATATTTTCACAGGCCTCTTTTTGACACGTGAGTATACCGGTCCTCGATTGAAGGCAGGTTGGTAGCCATTATTTTTTCTGCAGAACCAAACCAGACAGTTGTAAAGGTGCAGATGACAGACTCAATCATTCCACTGTAGAACTGTAGAGGCCACTTGGGCCGTTTGAGCTTCCTGAGTTGGCGCAGAAAGAACACTCTTTGTTGTGCTTTTTTGATGACGTTTTTGACGTTAGGTGTCCATTTTAGGTCTTGTGATAGGATAGAACCTAGAAATTGGAAGGTCTCCACTGTTGATACTGTGTTGTCTAGTATTGTAAGAGGCGGTAGTATGGGATTTTGACCCCTCTTTCAAAACAGCGGTCCTCTCTATCCAAAATGTGGACTTGGCTGTCTTCAAAAAAGCATCCATTGTCTTTTAAAAGCAGACGGACTGCTGAATCTAGTCCTGATGGATTTGTTCTCCTATGTTGCGTCACGCGTTTGTGAAATGGTTGTTTTGTTTCGTCAATGGACAGATCTGCATGCGTCTCACTGCATTGTACTGCACATACTACATTTGCTGTGAAACACTACATTTGGGTGTTTTATCCTTGGGGTGCACAAGTTTCTGCCTTAGTATCTCCTTGGGTTTGAAGCGTGCGTGTACGTTGGGTTGGCTGAAGATCCTCCTGAACTTTGCCAATGAAAACGTTGGTTTGTTTATTGTTCTCCTCATTGTCTGTTACAGAGGCGCTCCCGAAGGGTCTTTTTTGAGATTTGATGAAGGCCCACTCGGGATAGACACATGTTCTGAGGGCTTCCTTGCTGTGTTTATCTTCTTTTTCTTTCACATCTTTTATGGTAGGCAGGCCTTAAGCTCATTTTGATCCCCACCACCCACTGGAGCACAAAATGGGAGTCGTCCAGGAATGGGCTGCTACCGGTTCACCCTGGTTTGGATGAACTGGTAGCTAATTTTATTTTTAATGGCCAGTTCAGCGAACTGGCAAATGCCATCCCCGACTGGCCCCACCCACTCATCCCCACCCCGCCCAGGAATCCCCAGGTGGCCCGTTTTGGATTCCACTTAAGTGCAAGGCCTGCGTGCAGACTCATGGAGGACGAAAAATGGGCCTCCCAGAGGCTCAGAAAGGCTGGAAACAGAGCCTCCGGAGCCCAGGGAGGCCATTTTTGCTCTCTCGGAGGCAACCCCCCCCCGCCATGGTGCAGGAGGCCGATTAGGCTATGCCCACCTCTGGAGTTGATGAAATTTTTGAAGCCCTTCCCTGGAGTCTTCAGCACCTTACATCACCGAGCTGAGGGCCTGTGTACCAGCAAAGATGGAAAAGAAAAAGTACCAGCTGGGCGACTTTGCACCAGTCTCTCTCACTCTCTCTCTCTCTCTCAGCCCAACCCACCTCACAGGGTTGTTGTGGCGGGGAAAATAGAAAGAGGAAGGAATATTAAGGTATCTTTGCTGCCCCCCCTGTTCTGATCCAAACCTGGTTCCAAGAGAGCAAACACAAGACAAAGGTAACAGCCTTTGTTTCACAGGAAAAGGCTGCTTCTAACTAATTAGCTCCGAAAAGAAAAAGCCTTGCCAAGTTTTTCACGAGGCTGCTAAGAACACCAGATTAAGTTCCTAAACGATAATTCAAAGAGTCTCCAAACACCAACTCAGGCATTCCTAATGCCCAACAGGCTCGAGTATCAAACTTCTTTGCCTTCTGCAAAGAACTGCAGTCTCTCAGGCTGGCTTTTATCTTCTCGGGGAGGGGACATTCCCTTGCAGCCTTACTCCCGAGTCGCCCGTGCTGCTGCAGCTGCTCTTTCTGCATGCACGAGCACTGAGCACAGGCTCCTCAGGAACCTCTTCCTCATTGCTGCCAGCCTTCACCATCTCTGAAGGCAGCACTCCACTCCCTGATGGTCCTGGGCCCATCCCTGCATCCCACGGGGGCCCCTCATCTGAGTCCTCGCTCTCCGAGACCTCAGCCATCTGCACCTGTTGCCGGCCAACCACAACACCCCCCCCTTCCCCTGAGTTATCGTTAAAAAATAATAACAATGCAGGCGGTATAAAAACGGAACGAATGAATCTGTATGTTTTCGCTCTCCAGTTTTGAGCAGCTCTGCATTAATTTCGCCAACGAGAACCTGCAACAGTTCTTCGTCCGTCACGTTTTCAAACTGGAGCAGGAAGAATACAACCTCGAAAACATCAACTGGCAGCACATAGAATTCACGGACAATCAGGACGCTCTGGATATGATCGCCATCAAACCCATGAATTTAATCTCTCTCATCGACGAGGAGAGCAAATTCCCCAAGGTGGGTGATTGGCCAAATCGCAGTGAGTCTTAAGACTGCCACCCCCCCAAATGCTCAATTTATAGCTTATCAAGTCCTCTCCCCCTTTCTTCTTCTTCTTCTTCTTCTTCTTCTTCTTCTTCTTCTTCTTCTTCCTCTTCTTCTTCTTCTTCTTCTTCTTCTTCTTCGGAAAAGTTAGGGCAAGGGTCCACAACCTGTGAGCCCTGGGCCCACTGCCAGGCCACAGCCTGTTTGCAACTGGGCCGTGTGAACATATGAAGGATGGTTGCTGGAATTGTGTAGGTCGAGTAGTTTAAGGAAAAGAAGGACTACAGGTATAGACAGCAAAACAGGAAAAGTATAGATTAAAAGAGGAAATAAAATTGGCATATTGGTATAAAGGTAGGAACAACGAGATACTGTTGAAATCAAGAAATGGCTAGAAAATGGAAATCTATGTAAATATTCATATTTAATTTAATATATAGATGTACTTATATTTATATTGTATACTGAAAAATGTATAACTCATCTTCTGTTACGGCTATGGAATAGGGAGCACAGAACATAGACTATGTAGATTTATCTCTGATTTTTCTCTTTCTCTTTCTCTTTCTCTATCTATTTCTATATCTATATCTATATCTATATCTATATCTATATCTATCTATCTATCTATCTATCTATCTATCTATCTATCTACCTATCTATCTAACGGTAAAACAACTGTAAAGGTCTGACTTACAGACGAACACAATACAGAAGCCTGATGAAGGCAGATGAGATTCTGCCGAAACGTTGCTACAACTTTAAAAGCACAACTATAATGACGTGGGAAAATACCCGAACAAAGCTGAATACCATATATATATTCAGCTTTGTTCGGGTATTTTCCCACGTCATTGTAGTTGTGCTTTTAAAGTTGTAGCAACATTTCGGCAGAATCTCATCTGCCATCATCAGGCTTCTGTATTGTATTCGTCTGTGAGTCAGACCTTTACAGTTGTATGTATGTATGTATGTATGTATGTATGTATGTATATATATGTGTGTGTGTGTGTGTACTTAGTGTTAATATGACATTTTTCTTTTCTGAACCAATGACCTATATACATGAATCACTTTTTATCAATATTATTAAGGCACTGTGAATTAGTATTATCAATACTATGAATAACTGTCAAGTATTAGTTGTACGTATTGTATTTATTGTACTGTCAAAAATGATGCTGAAAGATATTGACACATCTTCTATTACAGACATTTTTGTAAATTTTTTAATACTTTGAATTCCTGTAAACTTTTTAATATTTTGAATTTCAATAAAGTATTTTTTAAAAAAATTAAGGAAGGACTACAGGTAACATGATAGCAGTCGTACAGTATCTCAGGGGCTGCCCCAAAGAAGAAGGGGGTCAATCCCTTCTCCAAAGCAACAGAGTGCGGGACAAGAAGCAACGGATGGAAACGGATCAAGGAGAGAAGCAATTTGGAACTAAGGAGGAATTTCCTGATAGTGACAACAATCCATTCAGAAGTTGTGGGTTCTCCCATCGGTGGAGGATTTTTAAGAAGAATTGGATATTATAATGAACAATCATTCGTCTGAAATAATGTAGGCTTTCCTGCCTGAGTGGGGAGTTGAACTAGAAATGGTATAGGGCCTCCTGCTTGTGTAGAGGGTTTGACTAGAAGACCTCCAAGGTCCCTTCCAACTCTGTGATCCCGTTAGAAGACCTCCAAATTGGTTATTCTCTTCTCCAAAGCCCTTGAAGGCAGAACAAGAAGCAACGGAAGGAAACTCATCAAGGAGAGAAGCAACCTAGAACTAAGGAGACATTTCCTGACAGTCAGAACAATTAACCAGTGGAACTACTTGCCACCAGAAGTTGTGAATGCTCCGACATTGGAAGTTTCTAAGAAGAGATTGGATAGCCCTTTGTCTGAAGTGGTGTAGGGTTTCCTGCCTAAGCATGGGGTTGGACTAGAAGACCTCCAAGGTCCCTTCCAGCGCTACTCTGATTTATTCTGGGGAGAGCAACAACCCTTAGACTTATATACCGCTTCACAGAGCTTTCCATCCCTCTCTAAGCAGTTTACAGAGTCAGCCTCTTGCCCCTTCCTTCCTTCCTTCCTTCCTTCCTCCCTCCCTCCTTTCCTCTTCCTCTCCTTTCCTTCCTTCCTTCCTTCCTTCCTTCCTTTCCAATATCACTTAGATTTATATACCACTTTATAGTGCTTTCCAGTCCTCTCTAAGCAGTTTA